CTATCCTCTATCCGCGAGGTACGGTCTATCTAAATAAGAGTGCAAAGTGCTATCAATCACCAGATTGGACCACTGCGGAAGTGCGAAGAGCGCATTCCTGCTATTTCTTAGAACTTTAAAGCTCTCAGTTCGGATTTAATATCCCAGTCACCATGCGACCGCTAGATGGCTGACTATTCTGGCTGTATAGTAGATATGGTCTACTTGCCATTGAATAGACTAAACTTGATGCTTAAGTCCGTCCGACCAAATGACATCGTAACCATGCTTCATGCTTCTTGGCTACTCATCAGCATGGTCTCGGCTTGGGTTCTCGTCTCTGGGACAACGAAACAACGAACGGAAGCACCACTGCTATTCCTTATCCAGCAGGTGCAGTCTATCGAATATATTATTTATTTATTACATTGAATTGAGATCTTTGCAGTTCCAACAAGTAGCAGCTATATGCCTTCCGCAGGAGTCGGTTCTGCTTTGCGAGGTCTTATTTCGATATACCGTAGCTCTTGGATATAGGACAGTTGCGATGCTTTCGTTTATTGCCCCAGAGATGAGAGACCAAGCCCGGACGATGCTGATGAGTAGCCAAGATATTACGAGTATAGACAGTGGAATGTCACTGTATTTATCATGTGACGAAAAAATTTTTCCTTCAATTAATAGATGGACACAATTATTGATTTCATTGCCGGTAAGTGTTGCGACATCTGAAAGAAGTTTCTCCCATCTAAAAACGGCTGTGCTCCACATGTTACAAGAGCGATTAGTGGGTTTAGCTCTTTTGTATATTCATAGGGATATGAAAATAGACGTGAATACAATCATAGATCGGTTCGCCAGCAAAAAGAATAGGCGCCTTGATTTTGTAATATGATAACACCTGAACTGTGCCTAAGGTTGTCTCTCGAATACATCTACCTTCTGTTGGCCAATAAATAAAAAAGCAGATGTAGTTAAGGGTTTACTTACGTTTAAAACACCACGGTGATCTTTTCCAAAGTATCCAATCAAGATATGTGGTTTTATTTATTGGCCAGCAGATTGATCTACAAGTCTATTCAAATTCTGTTTAAATCACTTTCTAGGCTAATGTAATGATTGTTTAATTTTGAGACTGTGAACTGATGTGGTTTGATAGATTATATGTTTTTGTTTTTTGAGACTGGCTAAGAGAATGTAGTTATGCAATGAATATTTTTTGTGTTTTTCTCATGATTAAGAATTTTATTTTGATTTACTTTCAGTGTTATGCTTTATCGAAGTCGTAACATATTTGTTATAGTTATTTTTTTCATGAAGATGATTTTTTTGTTGTTTTGTCTGACATTGTTATGTAGAAAAGTCTGTGATAGATTATACTATTTTGCATTTTTGTTTTAATATATGAAGATTGCTCAAGCTTGGTTTGCTTTATTTACACTTTGACTTCGTATGATTCAAAATTAAAAAAAACGGTATGTATTTTCTACAGAAATTACTGCAACAAATTCATATGTCAGCATATGTTCATGCTTTTAATGTTAAATCATTATAATACTTCAGTACGTCACACTGAGAATTTACTTTCCATTTTATCCCTCCCAGACTAAAATCCTGGGAGCGCCTCTGTTCGTATATACCCATAGTTAATATCCATTTAAACAAAAAATATGCCTTTTGTTATTAGCATTACTTACTTACTTACCTTTTAGCGATACTTTTCGATATGTTGAAAGAGGGTGATTTTATTTTGATGAATCAAAAAGAATTTCAGAAAAATAAAAATTTAGCGATTTCCGTATAATCCTTCCTTTGGCCTAAATTTTAGGTTACGAACAAGATATCGATATGCAGTTTTGGCCAGCTTGTTTAGACATCATTTGGCTACTTTTTCATAAAAAAAATCATACCAATGCATTTAATTTCTTTGAGAAAATTAACCATTTCTGTTGGAATGTCGAAGAAAGCCCTCTAGCGGCCACATGTGAAACTAACATAACTTCAAATACTATAACATTTGTAGCCCAGGAATAGCTCTTTTCAACTAGCCAAAGTCGGCTTAGACATTTCGAAAATACAGGGTGTTTTTTACGGAAACCTTTAAATATCCCAACCACTTTATTTTTAGAGATACAGCAAAAACTGTCAAGCAAAGAAAGTTCACATTATCCTCGACTTTGAAGACCAGGTATCTTTTGGTTAGGTTGATGCAGCGGAATTCACAGAAACATCACTTCTTTAGATTCAATACTGCAATTACGCCCCCTAGCGGCAATTTCAGAGACTTCAAATTGTTTTCCAGGGTTCTCTCTTCTTTTGGCACAAGCCTCTACTATGGATAGTTTCCCAGATACAGTAACTCGCATTTTTAGTTTCCCACCCTGTACAATAATGTCCATTAATTAAACATGATACTTTCGTCCATCCGACCAAAAGAAAAGCAACTATGGACAACTTTTTCGTGCTTCTTGGCTACTCATCAGCATGGTCTCGGCTTGGTCTCTAGTCTCTGGGACAACGAATGAAAGCATCTCAACTATCCTCTATCCGCGAGGTACGGTCTATCTAAATAAGAGTGCAAAGTGCTATCAATCACCAGATTGGACCACTGCGGAAGTGCGAAGAGCGCATTCCTGCTATTTCTTGGAACTTTAAAGCTCTCAGTTCGGATTTAATATCCCAGTCACCATGCGACCGCTAGATGGCTGACTATTCTGGCTGTATAGTAGATATGGTCTACTTGCCATTGAATAGACTAAACTTGATGCTTAAGTCCGTCCGACCAAATGACATCGTAACCATGCTTCATGCTTCTTGGCTACTCATCAGCATGGTCTCGGCTTGGGTTCTCGTCTCTGGGACAACGAAACAACGAACGGAAGCACCACTGCTATTCCTTATCCAGCAGGTGCAGTCTATCGAATATATTATTTATTTATTACATTGAATTGAGATCTTTGCAGTTCCAACAAGTAGCAGCTATATGCCTTCCGCAGGAGTCGGTTCTGCTTTGCGAGGTCTTATTTCGATATACCGTAGCTCTTGGATATAGGATAGTTGCGATGCTTTCGTTTATTGCCCCAGAGATGAGAGACCAAGCCCGGACGATGCTGATGAGTAGCCAAGAACCACGTAGCACGTTTGTCCATGGTTGGCTCTCTTGGTCGCACGGACGAAAGCATCATGTTTCGTCTATTCAATGGTAAATAGACCACATTTACTATACAGTCAGAATCGTCGGCCATCTAGCAGTCATATTCGCAGTGTTAGATTCTGGTGATAAATGGCGTTTTGCACTGTCAATTAATTCCTGCATGATCATGGGATAAATCGTTGTTTCCAACTGGTCTATCAAATATGTACAGGTATAATTGATATCTTATGAAACGTGAAAACGTAAAACTCATTAAACCAAGAGTGAGAAATTGATCCTCGCTTCTTAGGAACTCCAATTGAAATTATTTTTCTTCATCCCTTTGAAGTTTGTCCTGAATATATGAAGGTGCTAGTTTAATTTTGTATGCGCCGGTGGCAGTGTATTTCAAATAATTCATATCTAAAACTGGAAAATCTTGCAGTTGATTAGCACTAAGCTTACCCATCTTTGAGCATTCCTTGTGTGTAGACCAGTGCAGGGCGTTTACCCGTATACATTAATTGTCTACGTCTCCATATATACAATGCGTATACAATGAATACAATGTATACATTGCGTATATAATGAACACAATGTATACAATGATGAAGACAATATATAGAATAGCCTAAGAGAGGTAAGGTTTATTCGCAAACGTCAAAAAGTTCGTAATCAGTGAACCGACAACTTAAAAAAGATATGGTTGGACGCTCCAAGAACAAAGAAAGCGATGAACTAGGGTTCATTTGTTGTTCTTAATTTATTTAAAACTGTATCTTTGTATACGTATGTAAATAAATATTATATATTTGTACATTACTTATAAACTGGTTCCACAGTCAAACCAATAATACAACGTTACAGAATTTGTATCTATCCTGAACTTTCAGTTCCACCTAAAATCGGAGAACCATTAGTATCGATCTGGAATTAATCCCAAATAGATTCGACAGAAATGTGTATTCGAGCGTAGAAAACAAGGCGTTGTAGCAAGTTACAGTTGTGTTCTGTGGCCTTCATCACTGTTGTGCCAGGCAACGTTGTGTGTGGCGCACTCTTTCTACACAAGTGGTGCCCGCTTGTCCCCCTCTCTCTCTTCCTCGTATACATGGAAATCTAAAAGAGAAACTGATTTTCGCCAGCACTATATGCAAGTAGTTGAACTATCATTTTACGTATATTCTATACGTGAATATCGAGACGTATACTTGTATATTCACCATTGTATACGCGTATACAATGGTGTATTATACACGGTGTATACAATGCGCCCATCACCGATGAAGACCTACTTGGCTCGACAGAATGGCAATAACTAAATGACACTCATGAGGGAGGCTGTAATGCCGGTCAACCGAGACAGAGACGCGTGTCGAGGATATTTCTCTATCAAGTTTTAAGGGCAAAAGCACGGGCAAATCTATGATGTATGAAATATGTCTAATAAGTACATAGAATTACCGAAGTTGGTCGCGTATAAATATACGAACACCAATTTAAATATATTCTCCTCCTGTGGTTTGAATTGTAAGGGCGGACAAAATGAAGGATTAATACTATAGTAATTTTATTTGAAATAACTACTTGAATAATCACAACCACTTCTTAAAAGCATGAGTATTCTAATTTTTTGTTCAAAGTTGTAAGCATTTTAGTTCTAAATATGTCTTCTAAACAACGTTTCACCGACTGCTTTAAATACAAACAATCATATCTGCTCATACATTTTATGTGAGATTTAAAAATAAATGAATACTGATAAGATTATATATTAACTTATATACATATATAAATAAGAAAATAGATACAACTTTTACAGATATGTTTTAATACATTTCATTGCATATTAGCTTTCTAATTAAATATGATCTTAGTGAATGAAACGATCGTTTTGTGAGCATCAGATTAAACATTGATGTATTCTTGGGTCCTTAGAGCCGCATAGTTGTGAAGAATCTACATCTACCTCGCATATAGGTGAAGCATAGATCTTGTTCAATATGTTCAATATTATCACTATTGTCAAAATCTTGCTCTAAATGTCTCACACAACCTGAGAGGCATTCATTTTATTAAGTATTTGTTGTACTTGCTTTCAAACATGTCTAATGAGTGATGCTCACTAATAACTTTCTTAGAGTTCCATCACTTTGTGACACTGTCTAACAAAAAAAAAGAATGTGAGTAGAAAATCAAAGTTGAATATTGTTTTTAGTTAACACAATATTACCTTCTACTACTACAACTGAGGATAAAAAAGATATACGAATATTTTGTTTTATATCTTTTTGGTGCAAGCTTTAACCAAGTTTTAATGGCACCTTCTTCACATATCTTTTTTGGTAGCATTGGTGCCAGAAAGAACAGCCCCTTGAAATGAAATTTCATTATATAGATGTGATGTAGTCAAGTGTATACAAAATAAGATCAAACAATCCAACCATAACTTAAAATCAATATAATTTGACTGGGGAAAAATAAAATACGACAACTAAAATGCAGAATAAATTGTCTGATAGTCTGATAGAACATTCTGTGTTTTAGTTTTTTTATTAGTAAATATTATTTTACTTGTTTACCTATATATAAAAATGTCAGATAAGAAAGGATTTTTGAATATAGTTGTAGTTGTAGTTGTATCAAGTCTTGTATGTTACATCAGATACAAAAAACAAAATTTGTAAGCAATAATAGGTCTGAAACTGTTTGGAAACCTGTAAGATCTGTTAGCACTTACTTATTACAACCTTGTTGAGAAATGAAGTTTTGAATGTCTTCTTATCTTGTCTAGTTCCCAAATGATTGTAGCTAACTACCAAATATCACGTCCCCCTAACTTCGAAAAGTACAATATCTGAAAAACAAAATAATATTCTCCTAATTAGGTCATATAACCAACTAAAGCCTAATGACATGTTTCAAATCCCATGGCTACTGCTATTCAGTATAAAAATGCTGTACAGCTTTACTTTTGCTGAACAGACTCGTTGTTCTACAAACATGAAGTCCCACATTGTAATAAAAAAGTCTTGTGGGTTATAAATTTATGCAGTTTAATTAGCAGCTGCATTATTTGAAAAATATTCAAATTGAATTAATGCTGTTCCTTGAATCCATAGTATTTTCTCCTCTTCAAAAAGGCTGGAGTTGTAAAGTTATGTTTTTTTCTTGAATCGTAGGAAATTTCCGGCTGATAAAATAGATATAAATCAAAAGTATGAACATTTTGATGCGAATAGTTACCTAACGTCATAATCGAGCGGTAAAACGAAACAGTACAAAACTGTGAAAATCAAGGAGGCCATAAAGGCGTCCTACAATAATTGTAGGGACGACTGACGATAGCGATACGGCCCTTACTTATAGGTAAAGTTTGAAGAATATACCTACCGTCCTCTTTCGATATCGTACTGCTTATCCGGTACTTGCTGCTTATATGGTGGCCACCACACCCATTTCTTTCTCGGCGTCAGGCACTTTTCATGCACTATGGCAATATCGCCCCTAGCACCACTACCAATTTCATCTGAAAATTCTATTCCTATGCACATGGTTCATACAAAGGCATAGATACTGTCACGACGCTGTTCTTGACTTAACGATGAGCAGGACGACAGTATGGCTTTTGTCAATGCACATTTCGCAAAATGCAAAATTGATGCAGGATGGAGAACGCGACGTAAGAAACATGACGTTCGTGATGGGGAGCGTGGGACAGTGTTGCCAGACGATTATTTTTTTTCTCCCTAGATATTTTGCCAAAATTTCAGTAGATTTCCCAAACAACTTAAAAAAACATGTTTAGTTTAGAATTCATTTTATATATTTAATATTCATCTTAATATTGTTTGTAATTTGGGGTAGGAGTCTTGATAAACAAATGCAAACAAATTTTATAATTAGTTTAATTAACGTAAGGTATTTCTTAAAATATATCATATACAGGTAAACTAAAATACATGATAACTTAAGTATGCATATTATAAAAAATATAAAAAAAATATTCTGTATTAATAGCGAACGAACGAATAACATAAAATATTTTGTTTTTAAGAAAACACTAAAGCAAAATAGACAAAAAAGTAGGTATTATAATTTAATGTTGAGTTTTATTGCACATTGACGAATCCATTCTTCTAAACAAATCATTAGTAGCAACTGTTATTTTTCAATAAAACTTTGGTATGTAAAATTCCACTTAAACTGTCAGTCGATAATTTATTTCTTATTTTAGTTTTGTTTAGATTTACTTGGGAAAATATCCTTTCGACATTTGCACTTGAATGTGGCAAACTAAACAGATTAAACACAAAATTAGTTAAGGTTGGAAACAGAAGTGAGTCATCACCAGATTTTAAGGTTGAAATTTTTTCCCAACGTTCTTGAACGCTTAAATTTGTATATGCACTTAAATCAAGATTTCTTAGGTAGCGCCATTCTTTGTCTATTTCATTTACGTTATCAGTTGTCGAGTTGGGAAAATGGGAAACTAAAGGCCCTAATGATGCTTGTTTTTTGCTAATACCGCATCTGGTGATATAAGTGACATTATGTTTTAGGGTAGCGACAGTTTTGCTTCTACTATCAAATCTTTTATCAATTTGATAACAACTTTCTATTAAAAATTCTAAGCACCTCTTTCTGAAGTCAAATAATTCTGCATCATTCAGTTTATGTTAATTATTGCTTATAGCACCTGTTACGTAGACACCTAAATAAATGTTTTCTATTTTCACTAAATTATGGAATTTTTATATTCTACTTTTTCAATCAAAGTTTTATCTAAATAATCCTTTTTCATGTAACAATCCAAAACTGTTCTTAACACATGTTCAACTCGTTTATATAAAATGTGTATTTTAATATCTTCGGATTGCATTTCTAAATTTAATTCCCTAAAAGACGGCAGCACAAAGTAAATGTATATACAATATGGTAGATGGTTTTTGAAGAAAATTTAAGATATTTTGTGCTTGAATGTCATTTTTATTGTAGCACTAATCTGTAAAGCATCATATTGCTCAAGTGTTCTTTTTATAACAGGCAATACAGACAACCATCTTGTTTGAGAGGGTTGTCAAATTTTATGAAGTTTTACTGCTACATACTCCTGAAATTCTGCAAATTCAGTTTGTCTTTTAAAACTGTACGGTAGATACATATGAACATATCTAGCCATTTGTTCAATATCATCTGGTAATTTAGCAAAAGCATAATTAACACATAAACTAAATGAATGACAGACATATTTCATAATGGATAAATTAGGAATATCGGCTTTTAGTTTGGTGGATAATGAATTATGAATTCCTATCATAGCACTTGCACCATCTGATGCCAAGCCTATTAGATTTTCTTCATAAGTAATATTACACTTAAAAAATGATTTACAATAGTGTTGTAAAGTCCTTCTGCCGTTGCATCTGCTACAGGCAATATACCAAAGAACAAGTCTAATTTTATGTTTATAAAAAATACGTGCCACTAAAGCCAAATTAATTAATTGTGCATTTATCGGTAGATTCATCAGCAATTAATGAAAATGTAATAAATTAATAGAATTTTCAAAACTGTACTGCTCTAAAACATTAGTGACAATAGCTGTAGCTTTGGTGCGAGAACATGTGAAATTTTTCGCAATCTCTGAATCGTCAAATGATATTCTAATAATTTCTGATAAATGGTTTAGAGTATTAAATGTTATGTTCAGCTGCATATATTGCAATTCGAATTTAAGCAGTATTGATTTTGTTATTTAAAGATATGTATTTTTTCCATATAAGATGTCATATCACTCAAAGTTTTTTGTGTGTGTAATGATTTTACCAATTTGGTGTGTTGTTTTCCCGAAGAATGTTTCCGGATTTCGGATTTGCCACACATAAAATCTTTATTGCATGCCTTGCAGAATGCATAGTTGGACTCTTTCTTGCTGCTCCTCAGCCAACCTTTAAATTTAGGTTCTTGTTCCTATGCAGCGATATATTTCTAAGTATAGGATCTTATGATTATTTCCTTTTTTCTTGTGTCCAGATCCTTCAGAACAAGACGGTGAGGATTCCAATTCATAATTATAAAGAAACAATAGCAAACAAATTTAGAAGTTTGGTTTAAAATACATAGATCATACATATACATATTATAATATATACATATGTGTAAGATATTAATTTATAGAAATATTTTTTCATTAACTTTAATACTAAACAATTAATTTCTGAGTAAACTCTGAGGAACCTCCCCGATCAAGTACAATAATTGGAAAAGTAACTATTTTATAATAAATAAATATGTACTTACCTATGGCGAATAAGTTCAAGAAAAACTTTAATGATTATTCGTTAATAATTTTAGAGCACAAACTAAAAACAATATTTATTCTAAGGCACAGTTAGCACAGGGCACAATCCGTACAATTACATATAAACAGCAGAAAATTAAACAGAAACCACCCGGCGGTTTATATATTATATTATAGCCCAGGTATTTCTCCGTATGTAAAATACCGTTCTGGTATTCACTGACGGGAAATCGCCGACGGGGAATCAGCGATGAGGAATCACCGACGGGGAACCACAGAGTTTCGTTTAGTAATTCCTCGAATGTTATGAGTTATGATTTCCGACCGGTTTGTTGATACATTTTGGTGTTCGTACATTTTAATATATTTTGAATCATATTTTGTAGGTGGAATCGGAAGGCATTTTAAAAGTAATATATTTGTTTCTTAGTTTATTCTCTATCTCTCGTTTATTTTTTGTCAATGCTGCTTAAAATTGTCTTACAGAGTTTATAATTCCCTAGATTTTGTACAAATTTAAATAAATTTAAAAAAAAAAATTCACTTATCACTTATCAGATATCAGTTATCAGTTATCAGTTACCTCTCACCTGTTATCTGTTGTCAGTTATCAGTTATCTGTTACCAGTTATCAGGTATCAGTTATCTGTTATCGGTTACCTGTTATCGGTTATCTGTTATCGGTTATCTGTTATCGGTTATCTGTTATCGGTTATCTGTTATCGGTTATCTGTTATCGGTTATCTGTTATCGGTTATCTGTTATCAGTTATACGATGTCAGATGTCAGGTGTCGGTTATCAGTTATCTGGTATCACTTATATGTTATCGGTTGTCAGTTGTTAGGTGCAAGTTGTCAGGTGTCAGTTAACTGTTATCTGCTATCTGCTATCTGTTGTCTGTTTTCTGTTTTCTGTTTTACTGTTTTCTGTTTTCTGTTACCTGATTTCTGTTTTCAGTTATCTGTTACTTGTTATCTGTTATCTGTTACCTGTAAATGTTTTCTGATTTGACAGGAATGATAATTATTTACATTATTTAAATCTGCTGACGATTAATAAGGGTACCTCTAAAACGTCTTCAAAGATGAAATACATTATCACGATAGATATACACTGAGGCACTTCGTCTGAACCGAAAAACTGTAAACACTCGGCACCCGGTATCACTAGACTGTTATCTGTTATTATTATATTATGCTATAATCACAAAGTCTTGCTATGTTGTGGGTTTCTGATCTCTTCAGGAATTGATCCTTGGCACTAATTAGGTCTTACAATCATATTTATCGTATTTAAGCTGTTGATGACTTCTCTAAACTGCTAAACGTCAAACCCTATTCCACTACATAGTTGAGGGTAAAAGACAGGAATGAAAATTGTTTACCTCATTTAAATTTGCTGACGATTAATAAGGCTACCTTTCAAACCCCTCTCAAACGTCTTGAAAGATGAACTAAATTATCTATAGATACACTGCGGTACGTCGTCTGAACCGAAAAACTGTAAACACTCGGCACCACTAGACACTTGCTAGACACACTGCTATAAGCACAAAGTTTTGCTATATTGTGGACTTGTAGCCTTTTTAGGATGGATCCATATAAACGTTCATCTAAAATTATGCCACTCATTAGGGTTTACAATCATATTTATCGTATTTAAAGTGATGATGACTTTTGTAAACAAATCGCTAAACGTCAAAGCCTTAAATGCTTAGCTGCCGATAAAATTACAACGTTGCCAAGGCATACTTGATTGTTATAATCATTATAGTACAGTTAATTTCGGACAATTTTATTCGGTATGATCCAATATTGGATGAAGCGATTGTCATGAAGCCGAAAATCGCACGTTTTTGACGTTCCGCTTGCACGCGCTCGCTTTCGTAATACGATCATACCTACAATACCCCGCCTAACAGGAATCGCGAATCTCCAGCGAAAATCAAAATACAAACTTCAAACTAAAAATATCTGCATATCTTTGAATTTTCTAATCTGCCGAGTTTAAAAAATGCGATCGGGTAACGTGTCGTATATCGGTTTAATCAGGAGACTTTGGTCTTTCGTTTTGCGAAAAAAATCGTAGCTATGTCGATCCGTAACGAAGGTCCGTATCGACGAAGACAAAGTACGCCGAAAAACGGCAGTCATCGGCACGTTTGAGGCGCTCAAAGTTTACTTTTTCGAAATTTGACGTTAATTCTAACGGTCAGAATCGTTTCCTCAGCTCATTATCGTTATTTTTCG